TGTGACGGAGTGTGCTATTTTGCATAGAAACACTAGGAAATCCACACAATTTATCTTTTTACTCATGTGTTTTGCTATATCAAAGAAAATTACCGACTCTATGCAATGAATATATCATTTGCGGGTAACTTTAACTTCTGTTTGAAGTCCAACAACGCTAAGAGTAAAAGCTATTGAAAACGGCGTCGGAGTATCATACTCCAAAATGTACAATTTCTTTTATTTCTTTTTAATGGTACAATATAGCGACACGATAATATTTACATATGTTATCAGCATAACTCTGAAGGTATTAATGAGATCTTTATGTATTGGGTATTTTTAATTTTTTTGATAAAAAATAATATTTAATTTTTTTGTCTACTGTGACGGAGCAGTTTCAAATCTGAAATACATTGAGAATTTAGATTTATAATATATCTCTTTACAACTACACTTTAGAGGAACGAGTGTGTCAAATCTCTTTCATATTTAGTATTCTGAAAAATGAAACGTAATACAAGTACACAATTCAAATTCTGAGATGTATATACGACCACTCTTTAAGCTTCTTTTCTCAGTTTGTACTGCAATCCGACTTATGCATGGTAACTCATGAAAATGATAGTCAACTTCATTTCAGTATAAGGTATTTGCCCTTCGTAGTGCCTTCTGTGGATCCATGGGCCTGACATGGTCATCATTTTTACGGTAACTTGATTATTTGACGTAAAATGATTTGCTGAAGATGAAGCTAAATACATATAATGGTATGGACTGTGGATTGTTCTATCATCTTTAGTCGTTCCAAAAGGTAAGTTGAGGATTTTAAGATCGTTCTTTATTTGAATAAGAGTTATGGCTGATATCTGATGCAACTACAGTAAAACATTTGTACAGTGAACACATATGAAGCCCAAAAATGTGTTTCCAGTTGGTAGATGTTCACTCCATAGAGGCAATTTCATACAAAAGTCAGAGGAATATTTGATAAGAAGAGGTGTTCACTAGAGAAAGATATTCATTGATACAGGTTTTACAGTGAAGCACGTTTACCAAGACCTTTTTTATAATTTTAGTCTATGCAAAACGATGAATTTCATGAATTTAAAATAATTACAAATTAAATCTTTATTGGGATCATCTTATATACAGTAATATTATGTGGTAAAATGTTAACATCTGTCGGAATGCAGGATGTCTGTGCGCTATTTCGAATAAATTCATATTAGCCCTATTTACAATACACGTGACATTTCAAGACGTCTTGGCGAAAACGTATTAGAAATATTATGTTGAGTTTACACCATGTTGATTTCAGTCCAAACCTCCGAAAAATGCTAAGAGTGGTCGTTTTTATATCTCAGATTTACATTACCCCAAATCTCCAAGAGGCTACTTGTCATAATTTAGGAAAGTGATTTGTGGCGTTCTCTCTTCTAAGGGTACTTTTAAAAGATATAATTTAGGAAAGTGATTTGTGGCGTTCTCTCTTCTAAGGGTACTTTTAAAAGATATAATTTGAATCTTAAATTCTCAGTTAAAACTGCTCCGTCACAGCTGACAAAAAATGTAAACATTATTTTTTATAAAAAATATTAAAAATACCCAATACATCAAGATATCATTAATACCTCCAGAGTTATGCTGAAAACTTATGTAAATATTATCGTGTCACTATATTGTACCATTAAAAGAAATAAAGGAAATGGTACATTTTGGAGTATGATACCCCGGCGCCGTTTTCAATAGCTTTTACTCTTGGCGTTGTTGGACTTCAAAGAAAAGTTAAAGTTACCCCCAAATGATATACCCATTGCATGGTGTAAGAAATTTTTCTGTGGTATAGTGAAACATATGAGTAAAAAATAAATTGTGTGGGTTCCTTAGTGTTTCTATGCAAAATAGCACGCTCCGTCACAGCGGACAAATTTTTCGATACCAGCCTGTGATCCCTACATTCAGTCACAATTTAAATATTCACTGTTTATGTTGAAGTATCTCTTTTAAAAGGACTAGGCGGTGTTTAATTATCACAAATAGTTTATATGATTAGCTAAATATTTTACATAATGATTTTTATATTGAAATACCCTTTGCATTCGTTCGACTTCACTTAAAAGAGACCTTTGTCTTCACTCTTTCAATTTAAAATAAATCTCTGATCACTGAGTCAATCAGAGTTTCTCGTCGAAATACGGACGACTATCTATATGGTCATTTCCTATGACATCACCACATAGATAATGAGAACGTAAAAGGAGAAAACTTGAACTACCCATATTATTGCGTTTAGTGAGCAGTCTCAATCAAAATATTTACTGTTCATGTTAAAATTCCAGACGTTTGGCGCCTGCTAAGTAAACAATTAAAATATCAAAACCGGTTATTCGCCGAATAATAGGTTGAAGTCCTAGAATAATGTATGAATAATATTTTTTCTTGTAGAATATAATACATTGCAACCTTAGTTGAGAAATTATTATACGCATTTAGAAGAAGAATAAGATGCAAGAAAAAAGTTTATCTTTAATTATTTTCTCCCATACTTGTAATAAGATGTTATTATACACCAGGGTATACAGAAAAAATGTAATCTAATATAATACAACTGGTAATTTCAGTATATATGCATTACCTCACCCTCTATATTGCTATACATAAGGTAATAATTCCTATGATTTTCATAGTTTTTCGCGGTGTAGGTGATGATAAGAAAAACCATAAATGGGAGTTTTACAAAATAAAATGACACAGTATGAAAGGATCAAGAGAAAGTTGAATAATTGAATGCTTAGTTGTCTGTTTTTTGTTTGTTCAGGTGTTCCACCATAACCTGTTCTTCATTAATATCTGGAAATGCACCTCTGGTATCATGTCTTCTTAAGAAGGTTTGAATTGTTCTTTAAGATATGATTTTCATGTCACCACCACACATGGTGACATATTGATATGGTCTCAGTTTTTTGGATAGCGGTTTGCATTTGTAACAATTTCTTACAACTACTGATAATTTAACAAATGCTGTTTAGACGCTTCAAATTTTTTCAAAATCATCTAAAAGTTCTCAGAAGTTCAAATCTAAAAACAATTTCTTATGACTTCAAATAACTTAACAAATACTTCTGTGTAGATTCATCTCTCTAGTAGTACATTAAATATAACTTTAGTTCATTTACTTCAGAGAATAATGAGAAAATAAATCATTATTCTCTGAAGTAAATGAGCTAGTTATATTTAACAAATATTGTTTTGGCTGACTCAGTTTTTTCAAAATCATCTATCTAATTTTCAGAAGTTCAAATCTGACTTTAGCTCAAAAAAGGTCAAAAACGTTATTTTCAACTTGCTTTAGATGACCAATTCTTTTCAAATTCATCTACAAGTTCTCAGGGGTTCAAATTTGACTTTAGATTTGAGATTTGACATTTAATGACCCTCTAAAGGTTGAAAAGGTATTTTTTCAACTCGTTTAAAATTGACCAAATTATTTTTTCAAAATCATCTACAAAAGTTCTCAGAAGTTCAAATCTGACTTTTGATTGGAGATTTGGCCTTTAATGACCTTCTCAGGGTAAAAATGGTTATACAGTTCTTTTTTAACTTGCTTCAAATTGACCAAGGAGGATTGGCTCCCAGAATCGAAGTCGATATTTTCCAACAATGAAAACGCCGAAATGTCGTTATTTTCTGAAATTATAACCGATTATAAATTCAAAATAAACAGTTCAAAATATTCGAACCAATATCTCGATCATTTCTTGTGAGTTTTGGAATTTTTCGTTGGGAAATAAGACCAAAATTCACGATTCAAATGTTGAAGTGAACAAAATGGCAGTCGTTGGAATTCAAATTTTGTAGCACGACATGCCCATATATGGGGCAGAATATCGATGTTGCACTCTGGGAGCCAATCCTCCTTGAAATTGACCAATGTTTTTTTTTCAAAACATTCTACAAATTTTCAAAGCTCAAATCTGACTTTAGATATAAGATTTGACCTGAAATGACTTTTTCAAGGTAAAAAGGTTGAAAGGGTCTTTTTTCAACTTGACTCAATTTGACTGATTTTTCTTTTCAAAATCATCTACAAGTTCTCAGAAGATCAAATCTGATATAAGATTAAACTCATAATGTTGTGAGCAACTAGGTTGTGTCATTGCTTAATGATTTGTTGTCTTCATGTTGATTGCCCAAGTTGTGTCCACTACCAGCCAATCAGAACACATTATTTCACTAACTGCATTCAGATATACCAATAACAAGGAGGATTGGCTCCCAGAGTGCACCACCGATATTCTGTCCCATATATGGGTATGTCGTAATACAAAATTCGAATTCAAACAGCCGCCATTTTGTTCACTTCAACATTTAAATCGTGAATTTTGGTCTTATTTCCAAACGAAAAATTCCAAAACTCACAAGAAATGATCGAGATATTGGTTCGAATCTTTTGAACTGTTTATTTTGAATTTATAGTCGGTTTTAATTTCAGAAAATAACGACATTTCGACGTTTTCATTGTTGGAAAATATCGAGTTTCGATCCTGGGAGCCAATCCTCCTTGCCAATAACAAACTCAGTGTTACTAGTTGAATGGTTGTCATGGTGATGGCTGGACTCTATAGATTGAAATTGATACTTTGCCAGCTTGACCCTTGCAAAAAGTTTTATTGGAAATATATTCGTTTAGTGATTTTGCATCTTTTAAATGATTTTGTAGAAAATATTTTGCAGTCCAAGACTCAATGCATTGTGTAATGACCATTCCTTGTGTTGTTTCCTAAAATTAACACTCAATGTTCCGCATCTCATGCAAATTTTGAAAAGCAACGCCTTGAAGGAATGATCATTCTACATTGCACTGATTTCAGGGCTTAAATCCTTAAATGAATAATCAACTTTATATAACAACTTGTATGTTGAGTATACATGCAAATTAATATTGACTTCAGTGATGTCAAACAAATTACTACTCTTTGAAGCAGTTCTGTTTTATTTGGGTCATATGTTTTTTGTAGATTATGATGCACCTTTAGCAGAAAATGGAGATGTCACAGAAAAGTTTCATCTGATCAAAGAACTGGTCCAGAAATATCTACCTAATCAAGGTATTTTTTTATTGAATAAAAAATATCAACTTTAAGATCATTTAACGGTGAAGGTCAAGGTCAAAAGTTTGACCTAATTTACTATAGTGTAAGTACAGTGTAATACAATGGTGCCAATTGACCACAGGCTAGAATACCATTACACGCATACAGAGAACTAGCAGAAAATCACGTAATTTCTTGATTTTTCAAATATTTCCATTTGGATTCATGTGAAACTCCACTGGCATGTGACTACTAGTATGCAATCTTGTTGACATGCGGATTGTGATTTAACATTTAAATTATAAACCCACGAAAGAGTAAATGGATATTTACAGTTTTTTATCACACCATCGGTGAGATATAGTCGTCAACTCTTAGGTGGCCATCTTGTTTTATGGACACCTTTTTATGTCCCCACCACATAGTGTGGGGCCGTATTGTCGGCCTAGTCGCGTCCATCTGTCTGTCCGTCCGTCTGTCCATCTGTACGTCCGGCAGTTTTCTCCAAAACCACTACAGATATCACCTTCAAATTTTCAGGGATAACTTATGAGTGCATACAGATGTGGATGAAAAAAATTTAACTCGATACCTACTTCCTGTCGGCCATTTTGAAGTCAAATGCTAAAATCCTTGTCTGCACATTATAAGAAAAACGGCTTCACAGTTGCTTTTAAAACTTTACATATTTTTGTTCAGCTCACTTCATTCTACATCTGATTAGGTTTTGAACCTGTTAGCTCAGTCATGTCAGCCATTTTGAATGTTTTAAGAAAAGTTAGCGAGCGATAATACTTTGTATCATATTGAATGGTGTTTTTCAGTTTTCATACTTTAACTATTTCGTAGCTTTATAAACGATTTCAGGTGTACTTTGTTGTAAAAGCCTATCTTATTGCACACGTCGCACAACCCGTCATTCTGTGGCAAGCACTCTCACTACTAGAAAGCCAAAAACCCCTGCAAGCAAAGCTAAAAGGCCATCTATCTCTAGACCAAGAGGGAGACCCCGCAAGGCTCTATCCCAACCAGACCCCAAACGAAGTGTTAAACAAAAACCTATAACTAATACTAACATTGATGACGATAATGTGGTCTCACTCCTTAGATCCCTTAAAGCATCCCTAGACACTACTAATGCTATGTTAGGGGCCCTTCAAACAACCAACGCTGACTTGGTCAGTCAATTAGCGGCAAAGACTGTCACATGCCAAGCATTAGAAGCAGAATGTCAATCCCTAAGGAAACAGCTCAATAATAGAGGGCCTCCTTCAGACACCACATCTAGTAAGACTCTTCTGGTGGGGTCTTCACTCCTAAGGGACATAGATGAAACCTGCCTCGACACCAAACATGTTGATATTAAATGCATTAGTGGTGGTACCATCTCAGATGCCCAGAAAGCCCTCATGAATAATGAATCCTATGATAAAGTTATATTGCAAATTGGAAGCAATGACTGTGCCAAAGGTGACCCAGCTAAAAACATCGTGGACGATTACAAACTTCTTCTGTCTGGAGCGAAGGCCATTTCTAAAGATGTTTCCATCTCAAGTATCTGCCCCCGTACAGACAATAAAGAAGCCCATGAAAAGGCCCAGGCAGTAAACGCTGAACTACAAGTTCTGTGTGAACATACTGACAATACATCATTCATTAACAATGACAATACGTTCATTCTGCAAGACGGTACTATCAACGATGGCTTCCTGAATAGGGATGGTCTCCATCTCAACCCAGCTGGCACTAACCGTCTGGTGCATAACATGGGACTTACAAAATCGCTTAAGAGAGTCACAAAGCCCTTCAATCAGTATAAGAAATCTCAAATCCCAAATCCCATTCCCAGACCTAATAGCAATTCCAATTCCAACAGCAGTAAGCCAACATCATATGCCAATGCAATAAAGTCCCCTAGACCAAACCTTAAGCCAGTTTGCTTCAAATGCGGGGAAGCTTCTCATTTAGCCAGTACATGCTGGCACCCCAGCCCTGTCAGGTGTTATTTTTGTAAAAATTTGGGCCACAAGACAGCAAAGTGCCCCAACAAAGACCATCAACCTATTGAAACATCCAATAGATATTAGGTCCTTGGTGAGGTCAGCGCCTTACCCCTGAATACAATTCTAAATGACATCATCCCCAATACCCCCCAGCCAGGTAGAACTAAGCCTAAACACCGTAGATCTAGAAAACATAAGGTTAAACCAGCCAAAACCTTCAGAATAATGTATAACAATGTCCAAAGATTAGGAATATCGAAACAAAATCTACTTAAAGATCTATTAGAAATTGAAACATATGATGTATGTGCTATAACTGAATCAGGCTTTAATGATACCAACCAGATAACAGTGTTTAGCAATAGTCATACATGGCTGGGAAAAAACAGACACTCGAAAAAAGGTGGAGGAATAGGTTTTTTTGTACATAACGATACTGATATTATTGATGATAACTTACTCTCTTCTAAAGATGATTTATTTGAACGTTACTGGATTAAAATCAAAACCGGTAAATCATATTTAAATCTGTGCATTGTTTATTTCCCAAATGATGGGAAAAACATGATCGAATGCTCAGACCTGACTGATGAATTAGTACGCAACATAGCTTCCCTTGATCCAAATGAAAAAACTTTGATTTTTGGGGATTTCAATGGGAAAATAACCCAATTTAGAAAGAATAGTTCAAAAAGTCCAAATGGGGACCAGATTGAATTATTATGTGAGGTGTCAAATCTGGGCATTCTTAATCTCTCCCATAAATGCTCGGGTGAAGTAACATGGCAAAGGAATGATTTAAAATCAACTATTGACTATGTTCTTGCAAATGAAAATGTCCTGCCCTGTCTCAAATCTATGTTAATTGACGAAGACCACAACATATCTCTTGGTAGTGACCATGCAGTCTTCATTTTAGAATTTTTGTTTCAAGACGACAGGGTAGTTCATTCCCATAATGATCGGAATAATAACAATGTAAAAAGACAGTGTCCAAAATGGAATATCTCAGATTCTACCAACTGGTCAGCTTTTGAAAGTAAACTACAGGCATCTTTAAAGGGTTGGGACCCGGAAACATTGGCAGATCCAAATGATATCTGGGAAAGTTGGAAATCAAAAGTCCTAAATGTTGGGATGGAAGTTGTTGGCGAAAAATCATTTAATCCAAAGTTAAGGTCATTCTGGGATGAGGAACTGAAAAGACTCCTGAAAAATAGAAAAGATGCCTGTAGATTACACAGATATGTCTGTAAATTTGATCCAGATCCAGATACACTAAAGGATATTTGGGATGTTTACCTTGAACGAAAGAGAAAGATGTCAGATTACATTAAAGAACGTCACATTAATAACCACCTCAATATCCTAATTAAAAACTCATTTAAGAAGTCAACTAGTTCGAGATCCTTTTGGAAGACACTCAAAATGTTTAATGCAAAAAGTAAATACCCCATTGAAATAACTGACCCTAATAATCCCGAAAGAACAGTTAGTGACCCGAAAGAAATATCTCGTTTGCTTAAAGAATATTGGCAAAAGGTTGGAAAGGTAAATAGAAACAATGAAAACTCTAAACCACCTTTGAACGATTTATTATCCAAATATGAAAATGAGACCAATTTTGGAAATGGAACATTATCTCATATAAATTTCTCATTTGATGATATTTTGACTAATATTAAATTGACTAAAAACAATAAATCTTGTGGTACTGATAGAATCCCAAATGAATTTTTGAAATATGGAGGTGTATCAATAGTGAACTCTTTGAATTCAATGTTTCAATATTTCATGTCCAGAGAGACTTTTCCTAATGAATGGAGGGATGGACTTTTAAAGCCAATTCATAAAAGCAATTCTTTAAAGATTCTTGACAATTACAGAGGAGTAACTGTTACATCAAATGTATACAAACTATTTGCATCTCTTATGGAAAACTCACTTATGAACTTCTTTTTAAAAAATGAGACATTTAATGAACTCCAGGGAGCCTTTTTAAATGGGAAACGCTTGGAAGATAGCATCTTCCTACTAAAGGGCTTATGTAGTATTAGGAAAGATAAAAAACTAAAGACATTTCTGGGCTTTTTGGACATTAGGAAAGCCTTTGATGTTATTGACAGGGATCTTTTATTTTGTAAATTGTGGGAGAAAGGTATTTGTGGGAAACCATGGAGGATTTTGAAACTTTTATATTCAGGGATAAGAAATAAAGTAATTTTTGGAGATTTTGAGAGTGAGTTTTTTGAATCAGAATATGGTGTCCGACAAGGATGTGCCCTCTCACCGACTCTATTTCTTGTTATAATGAATGATCTTACAGAAAGACTCAAATATGAAAATTTAGGAATCCCTTTAGGTGGAGAAAGAATCCCTGCCCTTTTATATGCTGATGACGTAGTACTTTTAGCTGAATCGGAACATCAGTTATCCAAAATGTTAAATGTTGCTAATGAATTCTCTGTATACTGGGGGTTTCAGTTTGACACGAAAAAGTCCAAAATAATGCCAGTAGGTCGAAAAATCAATCCCAATGCATCATGGAAACTAGGCCATTTGAATCTCACTGAAACCAAAGTCTACAAATACCTAGGAGTTATTATAAGTAACAATCTAAGTGATACAGCACATTTTAAGGAACTTTTAAGACCCAAAGCTAAGAAAATAAGCCTCTATATTAATACAACCCTAAACAAGCACTCTAATATACAACGATTTAAATTTGGCGATACTCTTCACAATAATGTGTTCATTCCAGCAATATTACATGGGTGTGGTATTCTTACTTTTGAATCGAAATCCAAATGTAACGATATGAATTCTTTCCAATATAACATTGGAAGATCAGTTTTTAATCTAAATATGAAGCCTGCCAGGGAAGCGGTTATTGGTGATTTAGGATGGCGTCCGATTTTGAATACCATTGACAAAAGAATAATAGATTATTACCTTCATCTACAGAAGCGCATGGAAAAAAGTACACTTTTTAGAAATATATTTATGGAAATG